TCCTGCTGATTTTTCACAAGAAGCAATAGAAGAATACTTAGATCAATATCCCCCAATAAGGCATAATTATTTACAAGATTTTTGGACACAAAACGATAAAATTGATAAAAATTATGGATCTATATATACCGACAACATTGGTTGGATGTTAGGTAAACGCAGAATTAAATTTGATAGAGCGACTGGCCAAATACAGATATTACCTGAGGGGACAAACTTAGCAGGTACATGGCTTCGTGGCACACCTGGGCTATATCAACTTTTATTCTATAATGACCCACACTATGCAGATGCAGATTTACAACCCTATAAAAATCTATTGCAAAGTACCGGTGTTCATTTAGATTCGCTTGGACGCCTAAAAGGTTCGACAGGATTTAAATATAATCACATTATTAATCCTCTCTTTAAAGATGTGCAGAAAAATAAAGGTACAATTGTCACACGATCAACATCTACAAAAATACGTAGTCCACTTAGTTGATCATTAACAAGATCCACTCCCTCAACAACAACAACAACAACAACATCATCATCAACATCAAAACCGCCAACAGGAAAAGGTATCGGTGATTACTTGACATACAACGAGGAACCAATCGAATACGTGTACTGGGATGATCCCAATGAATTAATCGATCGACTTAAACTCCTTATGGCATCTCAGGAAGCTGGCAATACGTCGCATGATAATGAAATAGTAGCCATCCTCAACGAGCTGAAAGAAGCTAATATAATACAGTAATCTAGTTCCTTGGTCTTTCATTTACACGATGAGTCTTGATAAATTCGGACGTCGCTTTGATAAACAAAAGACACTTCCGTATATGCGTACACCGCCAAAGTTAACACTACCCCATACTTCTGATGGAAATGTTGACTTCAAGAACGTAAAGTTGTGTAATATAAAAGATCCCACAGATAATTCAGATGCGGCAACTAAAAAATACGTAGATACTTCAGTGATTGATTTAAAAAAAATCACAGCAAAAACAGATCAAATAACAGAGTTTATTTCGAGAAATCCGCCTACTTCTGGTAAACATATGGCAACAAAAAAATACGTAGATGACTCTATTGCAAATATAACAACAAGAATAGAACAGGAGTTGGCTACAATTAAGTCTCATACCGATTTGACTCCAATACGGAAAAATATCATTGATTTATCCTCTGAATTACAACTTTTGCAAGGACGCACATCATATATATCATTGAAAACATTTGATCTTGCTAAGCGTATAAAGCCGATGGAACAACAATTTAAAGCGTTAAAACATGACGTACTCCAAGGAGAAGCTACAACTAGTTAACGAGCTGCACAAGCCTGCTCGAAAAAATTATCCAAGACGACGTACCATCATTAAAGGCTTAGACGATTTATGACAGACTGACTTGGCTGAAATGCGACCTTATGCTCATCAAAATAAAAATTTCAAATTAATTCTCGTTGTAATCGATTCTTTTTCCAAGTTTATGTGGACTAGACCGTTAAAGACAAAGACGGGTGAGGAGATAACTCGTGCGTTTTCGGATATCCTCGCACATACGGAACGTACGCCGAAAAATCTACAATCTGATCAAGGTAAAGAATTTTACAATAGTAAATTTCAAACTTTAATGAAGAAGCATGATAATAATCATTATAGTACATATAGCATCAAGAAAGAGGCCATTGCTGAAAGAGCCATAAGAACGTTGAAAAATAAACTTTACAAATACTTTAGCTTGATGGGATCGTATAAATGGATTGATATATTACAAAGCATTACCAATGAATACAATGGAACACGTCATCAAACCATCGGATATAAACCATCACAAATTAATAAATCCAACGAAAAATGTATCTTAAATCGAAAATATACTCATTTAAAAATCGCGGGCCCGCGTAAGTTTAAAGTTGGTGACATTGTACGCATCAACAAAACCAAAATGCTATTCGACAAGGGATACGTTCCAAGTTGGACAACGGAATTATTTAAAGTTACTAAAATTAATATTACCAACCCTGCAACGTACATGCTCGAAGATATGCAAGGTGCACCGGTCAAAGGAGCCTTTTATGACGAAGAATTACAGAAAACAGCCAATCCAGATGTTTATTTAGTTGAAAAAGTTTTACGTCGTAAAGGTAAAAAAATGTACGTCAAATGGCTTGGCCTTGATGCAAAACATAATAGTTGGATTGACAATGATGCGATCGTCTAGGTGTATGGGGTGGGGGGGTTTCTGCTAAAAGTGAGTTCTCAGTCGGTTGCAGTCAGTCAGTCAGTCAGGCAGCTAGTAAAAAAAATGGATACCAGTGCTAGTGGTTCAAGTTGCAGCGAGTTTGACCTCACCACCACCAGCAGCTCACACGAATCATCTGTAAACTACGACCGTGAGCTGGATGCTATTCTGGAAAGGTACGAAGAAGCGGCCAAGAACGAGGACCATTATCTGCTGTACACGCAGTTTCCAAATGGATCATACCAAATTGGATGCGGTCTAAGCCCAGCGAGATCATTTACTCCTGCTGTAATTGTGTGGAACTCATCACGGTTGAAACTATCTTTCAGTTCCTATGAATGGGAACAATTAATCACCCAGCTCAATGTGGTAACGGTGAAGGAGACGGAGGAGCAGGAGGAGGAGGAGGAGAAGAAGGACCTTCCTGACAAGTATGATCCTGTCGAAATCGAGTGCGGTGACTATTGCAGAATTCGACGACTAATCTATGATAGTACGAAAATCCTCGAAATAACCAAGCACAACATTAGTTTCTACCT